AGATGCTCAATGTGCCACTTCAAGCGATGGACTGAGTATTGTTGTTAACAATACACCTCGAGTACAAACGCATAATGAAAGATCAGTCCACGAAGTTCCACAAGCTATTGAACCTGATCCAGTAGATGCTGAAGTTCAACAGATGCCTGAAGCTATTGAACAGTCTGCTGAATAAAATGATCCTGCTCCTCAGGAGAATATTGATGGAGCATTAAGAAGATCTACTAGAATAAGGAAATCGGCGATTCCTAGTGACTATGTTGTGTATCTACAAGAGTCTGACTACAATGTTGGTGTTGAAAATGATCCTGAAACGTTTTCACAAGCCATGAATTGTAAAGAATCAAGTTTATGGTACAATGCCATGAAAGATGAGATGGATTTGATGGCATCCAACAAAGTCTGGGATCTCATCAAGTTGCCTGATGGTATAAAAGCCATTGGATGTAAATGGGTTTTCAAAACAAAGAAAGACTCACTAGGCAACATTGAGAGACATAAAGCAAGACTCATTGTCAAAGGATTCACTCGAAGGGAAGGAATCGATTACATAGAGACATTCTCTCCTGTATCTAAGAAAGATTCACTTCGAGTGATTATGGCATTGGTTGCCCATCTTGATTTAGACTTGCACCAAATGGATGTGAAAACGGCGTTCTTTAATGGTGATCTAGAGGAAGAGGTTTACATGAAACAATCTGAAGGATTCTCCTCTAGTGGTGGTGAGCACCTGGTCTGTAAGCTTAATAAATCCATATATGGATTAAAACAAGCTTCCTCTCAATGGTATTTGAAATTCCATGACGTCATCACTTCGTTTGGTTTTGAAGAGAACGTCATGGATCATTGTATATACCAGAAGGTCAGTGGGAGCAAGATTTGTTTTCTTGTTCTATATATGGATGATATTTTACTTGCAATCAACGATAAGGGTTTGCTACATGAGGTGAAACAATTCCTTTCAAAGAACTTTGATATGAAGGATATGGGTGAGGCATCTTATGTCATTGGCATTAAGAACCATAGGGAAAGATCTCAAGACATTTTAGGTTTGTCTCAAGAGACCTATATTAACAAAGTTTTAGAGAGATTTCGGATGAAGAAATATTCGCCTAGTGTAGCACCCATTGTGAAGGGTGACAGGTTTAACCTAACTCAATGTCCCAAAAATGAGCTCGAGCAGGAACAAATGAAAAACATTCCATATGTTTCAGCCATTGGAAGCCTAATGTATGCTCAGGTCTATACCAGACCTGACATTGCATTTGTTGTTGGAATGCTAGGAAGATATCAGAGTAATCCAGGCATAGACCACTGGTGAGCTGCAAAGAAAGTGATGAGGTACCTTCAGGGGATCAAAGATTACATGCTTATGTACAAACGGACTGACAATCTGGAAGTGGTTGGCTACCTGGATGCAGACTTCGCTGGCTGTGTTGATTCACGAAAATCAACATCTGGTTACGTTTTCATGCTTGCTGGCGGAGCTGTATCTTGGAGAAGCGTGAAGCAGACCTTGACTGCTACTTCCACTATGGAGGCTGAGTTCGTGTCTTGTTTTGAGACTACCTCACATGGTGTATGGTTGAAGAGTTTCATGTCTGGGCTTAGAATAATTGATTCAGTTTCTAGGCCATTGAGATTGTACTGTGACAACTCAGTTGCTGTGTTTATGACTAAGAACAACAAGAGTGACAATTGAAGTAAGCACATCGATATTAAATACTTAGCCATTAGAGAACGTGTTAAGGAGAAGAAAGTGGTCATTAAGCACATTAGCACTGAGTTAATGATTTATGATCCTTTGACTAAAGGCATGCCACCAAAGAATTTTAAGGATCATGTCGCGAGAATGGGACTTGGTTCGGTGATGTAATTTTATTGTACGTACATTTGATGCTTTAATGAAACTCTTATTCAATCGATGTTTTCTCATTTGTTTTGTACGCATATTTGTATATTCATTTACCTTGAGAATATCATTAAGTTTGGACCTTGAATAAACATAGGGTTTATTCATTAAGTCATATGGATTGGTGTTTAAGAGACATGATACACTGTGATACATGAAAGATAATACTCGCTTTAGAGGTCCTATCGCTATGATTCATGCATTATGTTCCTTATTATGATGAATGATGGTATATATGGACCAAGTGGGAGAATGTTGGATTATAACCAACTTATGAGTGGTCCACATATCCCACTATGAAAGCAATTAACCCAACATTTAAAATCATGTTTGGTAACCACCCATGGACGTGCATAATCGCTCTGTGATGGGAAGAGCATTTTAAAGGCATTGAGATTCATTCGGAAGGTCCCTAAGCTCATTTTCACGTTCAGTCTGCATACACCATCTAAACAATGAGAAAGAGGGCTTAGAAGAGCCTTAACCCGAAATTAAACACCACATACAAGCTTGAAAAAGTGTGTGAACAACGACGATGGCGGGAGGTGCGTTTTTCGATCCAATTTATTTCGCATTGATCTAAATGCTATTTTGTTGATTAAAGCATGTTTAGATCGCTTAAGTAGACTTTACATTAACCTCATAATTCTTCTCCTTCATTAAAGTAGCGATGAATGGATATGACTCTCACATTGAGGGTGAATCACGATAAGTTTTTTCTTTGTATGTGAGCATTTTTTTTTGGGATTACAGCTTAATCCTACATTTTATAGGGGGCGGGGAGCAAAGGGATGGAAAGCTATAGACATTTTACCAAAAAAAAAAAATTGAATAATAAGTTTTATTTTAAAACTTGCTTGAAAGTGTAATGAATATTCTTGCTGTGAAGAAGCCTAAANAAAAAAAAAAAATTGAATAATAAGTTTTATTTTAAAACTTGCTTGAAAGTGTAATGAATATTCTTGCTGTGAAGAAGCCTAAATTGGGAAGCCACACATATCAGAGAGAAGGCCTTGACATCTTTTATAGCTTGCACAGTTCTGCAGGTTGAGTTGGGTAGAGAACCCATGTGAAGTTCTTCTCCACAGAAGTCCCCAACCTTGAGATAATCGGAGGTAATGAAACCAGTTCTACCACTATTAGTCATTACTACCATGCATAATAAAGAGCATCCTCTCAACTGGTTAACTATGAAGCTCATCTACAGCTTTAGACGATCACACATTGCATCCAATAGCTGTTCGTCCATTTGCTCAAACATTGGCACCTGTAATAAATAGTCAATAGCTAGATAAGCAGATTGCTCAACTACAGAAGAAATGTAAAATACTAAAAGGGCATGTTTGCAATGCACCAAACATGCATAAAGTGGTCTAAGAGTAGTTGTTGAGGTGCACTTCCTCTTCTGAGTAAACTCCAGCAGAGATGGCGACAAGTTACAAATTAAAGAATCTTCTTTGATGCCCCTGGTTTCTTGCCACTTGTATTGCTCATGTTGTCGCAAATTATAAGGAAGCATACGGTGGGACATCCATTGCTCTGCATCTCTTCTACCTAACAGTGATAAACTTCAAATATTTTTGTAACAGAATATAAAAGCAAGCTTAGCCATTTCCTCTCAAAATTTTAGTAAGAGAAACATGTTAGGCCCTAAGGTATGACCTTAGGGGGGATATATAAGCTGAAATTAAATATAAGCTTATGACCTGTTCCATAAGACGGTATAAAGACTAGAAAATAAGTTTTTCATTTTGTCCATTGTACAGTCTTAAATATGCCATTAAGCTATATGTACAAAGCAGAAAGTGTTTTAATGGGAAATATGTATCGTAAACCTCTTGTGAAATAAAGCGACAAGCTAAATGTACAATATCACACAAAACAAAAGTGTTTTAGGAGTTAAACTAAAATCTCGACTATCTTAGACAGTATTAAATAAGAAAAATAAATTTTTTTTTTAGCCTGATACAATCCAATCACGCCTGTGTGTATTGTTAAACTTATATATTGAACCATAAATACACTCGATTTTTTTTTTTTTTTTTCAAAAAACAACCATGAACTTATTGAACTTCCAATCGAGATAAAAACATAAGTGCACATAAAAGAATTCTTGTGCCCAGTAGAATTTGAACTTAAAAAATGGCTATCATCAATGCCTATCTAATATCTATACACGGGCAATTTGAACTAATCTCACTAGTCTCCGCTGCTTGATTGTCATTTCTTCAACTGATATGCTGTACATTTTTCCAGATCAAAATTCAGCCTAAAAATTGTAATCTTCCTTATTCACAGACAAAATTACCCTGCAAAATAACGACCCCATATTCAGAATTAAATGACAATTCTTAATCTAAGTAAATAAATACAAGAAGATTATCAAAATTGAAGGTTTCAGTGAAATTGGTAACTAACATGAAAATATCTTTGAAAGCCCATTATGTGATTATTAGATAGTTATATGACTAATTAATAGTCAAGATAGGCAACTTTCAGCTAAGAAACTTGTTGGACACTGCTATGGCAATGGACTCCAAAATACTTGGTCGGAGACGAGAGATAGCATATCAAACTTCGACAACAAATGACAATTTTTTAGTTTCCACCCGAAAGTCTTCGACCAAGCTGCCCAGATTGATACCAGTATTTATGGATGTATTATAATTGATCCTTGTTTGTATTAATTGTTACAAGTAACAAAACATCTCTTTGATAATGGCATCTCAATGTTTTGTATTAATCACAACTAAAAAGCAATTATTTTCATAGTTATTATAGTTATTAGTATTTCAAATTCATTTCAATAACTAAATTAGGATATGGATTTTGAATAAATAACATTATATTGGATATGGATTTCAACTTATATTTATCAAATAAATAAAATATTACCAATACCAAAGTCAAGCAAGTGGATATGGATTTCAAGTTATATTTATCAAATAAATAAAATATTACCAATACGAAAGTCAAAGCAAGTAGAAATGGATTATTGTCCGTCTATTTTCAAAATAATAATACGAAAAATTTCTTCTTACAGAAAATAATAATTAAGAAAAGAATACATTGATGATCAGACTTGAAGTATAACTAATAGATCTTATCATGTGCATAATTTTACAATATTATATAAGTTATAATAATATTGTTCTAACCAAGAAAATACAAAATAACATGATAAGATCTATCTCTTGGAGATGCATCATGCTCGATTTTCACTGCATTGATTAAGATTACAATAAATCATGCTATTATAGCATGGTTATATCTTATGAAAGGTCTAACATCTAGTTTAGTCGATACGTGCATCTAATATGATTCTTCCTAGACAATTGTTATATATCCAACTAGCTCTCTACTAAATTATCCAACTTCCAGGGGAATGTGTCTTGACTGAAGCTAGGATTTCTCTTCATCCGATGTTGGACATGGCTGCCCAGGAACAGAATCAACAAAGAACTCCTCTACTGAAACGACAAAGCATCAAAATATGATCAAAAATGTTAATATCAATCAAATAGACAAATAATTTTAAAAAAAATGTTTCACTTCTTACCAATATCATCTTGCTCCGGAGACTCAAGTAGAATATCCGAATCAGAAGGCAAAAAGGGAGAACCGGGATAGTTTCCAAGAGCTCCTAGATCTGCAATTTTTTATTTTTTATTTATTTTTTTGGAAGTAACATGCATAATTAGTTACGAAATCTACAGAGTCAAGGCGAGAAACAATTAGAAGTAAGGACAAAATATTTTTTTCATGAATTAAACTACCATATCAAAGTAGCTATAAAACACTCAAGGTGTGTTTAATATGTAGTACTCGACACTCTTGTAAGGAATAATAGACAAGATTTTAACTTTTTTTCTTCGTTCATCCTAAAATACAATAAACGGAACATGCTATGAGTGATCATATTTAATCTTAAGTGACTATATGTAACAGTTATGCAAACCCCACTTATACTCAGAGATCTCTCTTTTTATGGAACAAAGAAAAACAAGACATGCCCCAACTCCCAGGAATGCACATTTTAAAAAATGCAAACGACTCAACTGAGATCAGATCGTAGTTACCTCCCAAATTCGATAGATCTGCTGTCAAGTCTGAAAGACTGAAGTTCCAAGGTATCTGAGCCAAGGATCTTAGGGAATCTCTAGAAGTTCCAGCAACATTATTGGGTGGAAGCTGTAGTCCTATTGAACTTGCCACATCAGATGTAAAGGCCGTGTCAAGGGTTGATGTCTCTACTCCTATGCCAGATATCTCTGATGCGCTGAACGGGAAATGTCCAGTGGAAGCAACTGATGTGGGGCTCACGGGCATATCTGACATGGATGACATCTCATTATTTGGAGGCATAGCAGGCGATACATCAACTAAACTGGTGTCAATCATCAGACTGCAGAGGAGAAAATTGGCAGTCATTAGCAGGAGATTTAGCCTCCATTTGGCAAATAATACATCGTTTATAAAGGGGAATAATAAGAGGAATGTACAAGAAATGTGAGAATAATAAATGAATAGTAGATATGAATTTATTGCTTGACTTGGACTGAATTTAATAACCATTTATAACTTGGCAGCCAAACTGAGGCCTAATAAGCTAAATGTGGAATCATAATTTCTGGGGTTACAATTAACTTCATGCAAAAGTAGTATTTTTCTGTCCATCTATGATGAAATATTCAATGGTCATGATAATATATTAAGGGCTTAGATAAAGAAACACTCATGACTCTGAAATTTCTCTATGAATCAAATATTTTTTATATAAAAATAAAGGAAACGTAGGCTTTAGGAAGAAGAATTCGCACTCATTCCCAGACATCATTCGAACTGGATGGAAATTTCCTGGTGCTGGAACTCCATTAACAATTGGACAGCTAGATGTGGTATACCCTGTAGAATCAAAATGATGTTGGCCTGCAGCGGGAACTGGAGGCTGCTGTATAACAGGGTATCCCATAGGTAAATTATTGACTGCACTGCAAATGAGTGGCATTAATTAATGATAATAATATGATAATAGATAATTGCAGTTTAACATGCACACAACATACCATTAATTTAAGCTTTCAGTGACCTTATTCTACATCCTACTTTCTTCAAAAGGGAAAAAAAGAAGAAAAGACAACATAACAGCAAAATCCCCAAAACTTTAGGGAATTATGGGGGCTAAACACTGTAGTGTTAACACAAAATCTCTGTCCACCCTTCCCACTCCAAGTGAGTTATGTTTAAATCTTGAATCTCAATCTCTTAGTGGAAAGAGTTCCAACTGAAAAAGCTCGTGTGGAATATAGAACAGTACAGAAATATAAATATACATGTGCATTGTGAGTGGCACGGTCAAAATAAGCATTAAGACAAACCTAACTTGCATAACAGGAAGTTAATTTGACAAAAGGCACCGGGCAAAGAAGTAAATAGCTGGTCAGATATCAGAAGAAATAAAGGGAATCGAAATCGAAAATATTGGAGGCATCACAAGACACCAAAAGATAGTACAAGACTTTTAAAAGGCCAAAGCCTGCTTTTGATAATTAGGCCTCGTTTGATTCCCATTTTTCTCAAGATACATTTTTCTCTCTCTTCTTTTCAACCACGCATTCTTAATTAAAATAATATTACACGCAAATCAAAAACTTTTATTTATTTTTCTTCCACACATTTTCCATCAATCTACTATTCTAAAATTCATTTTTCCATCAAAATGGGTGTCAAACACGCTCTAAGAAGTTGCTTTTAAACATGACAAAATAATTTTTTTGAAGTGCTTTGCCTGGCTAGAAGAGCTTTCAGAGGAAATTGGCCGAAGATAGCTTTCTCAAGAAGCTCTTCTGCAAGAAGCCAAAGCAAAAGCAAAGGCAAAAGCCAAACGGGCCTGAAATAACTCTAGATGACTCATGACAAATAAATGATCAAGGGCATGACCCCTAACTGCAAGGAAAATTGGCACATGTCTTTGCGCATCCCCACTTGAAAGATAACGAGTTTCTCAGCTAAGGTTCAGCACAAAAAAATCGACTTCAGAAACACAGGAATTAAAATATAGGTTTCCTCCCTTAAAAGACCCATAATAGAACAGTAATCTGGAGGCAACCCACAAGCTTACTGAAAAACTCAAATATACATGAATATCATTAATTTCTTTTATGACCACAGAATGGGGTTATCGCAACTGAGAAAATGCACTTTTGCTCGTATGCAAAGGCTTTTTAAGTACAAGAATAACGTAATGTGAAGCATGACAATATTCTCCTATCTTTCAAGATAGGGTGGTAACAAGACAGCTCGCCAGTCCTACCATACCACTCAGCACAGGTCATTGCTTAACAAAGCCCGATCTTTTGGGCTTGCGAGCCATTTTCTTAAAGGGAAAATGGGAAATTCATTCGCTGTGTCATATGTTGCCAAAATGAAGAAGTAAACCCTCAAGTTGATGCTTTTGAGATTTCTCTCGTGGACGTCATTTCTTCCTCATTGACATCTAGGTCAGTAGGAGCATTTGTATTTGTATCCAACTTTTAGTGAATTGGAATGTGATCGTCACTAAAAAAATTTACCGCAACCAGATGGAGTGCTTGAACTACCCAAAAATTGGTTTTAAGTAATCATTAGAAGATCCGAAGACTAAGAAAAATGTAAGAGAGCTAGAGAGAAATTTAAAGAACTAGTGAATTACAGAACTCATGATGAGCCAACCCCAACTTTGAAGGTAGTAGCCAAGTCAATGGGCAGGCTTGCGAGCCGGCTCAGTCTAGCTTGTTGGCACCCTATTTTGGGGCAAGGAATGAGAGTTTTATCACAAGGTTAACAGACCACAAAAAATTAAAATAAATAATAGGCATGAAAATGAAACATCGTGAGACGTTAATATGCATTCTCTGGACCTAAGTTAAGATTAAAGCACAGAAAGATGAGGTCTCTATTTTTCACATCAACAGCTTTCAATAACCCAAATCTTTCATATTAAACGAACATCATAGAAACTGAGACCTTCAAGATTGAAATAAATGCACAGTCAATTATGCATTCAGCATCAAGTGTCGAACCAGAATATAGATTATCGAACACAATAAGTGAATGACAGAAAGTAATTACCCGCCATTGGATGAATTCCATTCTGAATAGGAGATAAAGGAACCTTCAGAGGAGCTGGATATTTCATTAGATGGCACTGATGCTCAAGCAAGTTATTGAATAAGATAATTTGTTTCTTCAGTTTAAGTCTTATGTAGTAAGCCCGGAAAAAGTCAGCATTTTCTTCTTCTAATTTCTGCCACACTGAAGAATAAAAATAATGAAAATGGATTACATCAAAGCCTGATACATGGGCTCACCAGTTACTTTCATACAGATAAAAGTCAGTACAGCAGCATATATCAAGGGACAGTGACAATAGATTACTTTAGATGTTCTGATGCTACCTACCTAATGTTGTGAACCCAGGATCTATTCTGGCGCGACTCAGTAGGGTCGTCACAACCTCATCTCTATTCATATACAACTGTAGACATCTTTCTATCAAATTCTGGACCTACAGCAGATAATGATCATAATCAATATAGAGAACTGAATCCTGAAATTTGTTATTAAAATGCCAAAGACAACAGGAACAGGCATGAAGGATAAACAATTGCCTTACAAGTTCAATATCCTGGCGTGAAACTTTTCTGTTGTCATTGTTTGACACAGAAACTGAACCTGAATCCGGTACAGGTGTCTCTGTAACATTATTTGGTTGTTCACATTGGGACTCGTGTGATACCTGATTAGCGGGCTTTATTTCTGATGTGTTATGTGAATCCTGCAAAAGTTTTATGTTAAACATGAGAAAAGCGACTAAGTAAATAAGGAGTTCATATAAGAAATCTGATAAAATACGTACTTGACATGAAATGACATAGATTTGTTTACATTTTAAATGCTCATTTTGATGGGAAACAAAATATGCATTTATATGCAGTATATAGATCCACATGGCATATAAATTATCTTTACGTAGCAAGGCTCCATTACAACGTTAGAGTTCAGCAAGGAAAACTTAAGGAAAGCACTAAGAAACTCCTGTTTGGTCACAAAAGAAAAACATGAGAATTATAACCTGTTTGTTCGTCATTTCAGCTAAATGCAAGCTGAGAGTGGCTCTCCACGAAGCTCATGTATCGTGCAATCATTCAATTCAACAAGTTCCTAGATTCTACTTAAATAATCCACAACAAACTGACGCACTCCTCCACCAGGAAAGAAGAAGCTGCAGTTATAAAATTTCTACCATCCAGAAGCAGCTGCCAAATAAAGTGGATACAATACAACTGGTGAAAACTGCCTAGCTCATGAAATTTATATAAATCAAGAAAGTAAAGGAATCTTTGTCTTTCCATCATTATGCTCTAGTTTAGGTCATCTTACATTCAAAGAGTATCTGTGTGTTATCAAGAATTTGCAATGGCTCAATGCAAAGATTGACATCAACATTATTAAGCTAAAATGACTGATTGTCCAGCCAGTACTTGCCTTCAAGTTCCTTGTAAAGTGAATCAGAAGACAGAAGTAACAGATAACAGCTTGGACAAATACATATGGTGGCCACTAGTATGTACTTTAACTCACTTGATGGCATTTGCTACTTTTGCTACACAGGCATCATTTCAGCATAACCATCAGAAAAGTACAAGACCCTTTAGTTTATCAAGTTACCGAGTGCTATTTAGCTAACTATGTGCAATTAAGGGTGCAACCACAAGAGCACAAGAATAAGCAGTGATCTAAAAGATTCATTCATAATAGCAGTTAAAGTTAGCAATAGAAGACACTCAAGCCAGGCAAAGCATGATATGTTAAGATGTGACAGAAGGTAATTAGAATTTCTCCATTTATAGTTAATGTTACCAAGAATAATTTTACATCAAACCACCATATGATATAAGGAAGAATGCACGGACTCCTTCGAGCTGTGAGATTGGCTAAGAACAATAATCCTCGTGATAGTTTTCAGTTCCAAATATTTGTTAATGTCAGTCAAGACTCAAAATTATATCAGCATGAAATGATATTTCAGTCCCTTAGAAAAAGTTTATACATCTGTATCTATCTGATGATCCTACACGCACAGCATAGTCCATGCAAGTGTACATGTGTACAAAAAGCTAATTCTTTCTCCCCTACTGACAAATATATCAATCTGAATTGATTGAGGAAAAATGGAATCATTGAGCGTAAGAAGTCTTCCAAAATTTTTCCATTATACAGCAGTTGCTCAAAAATTCCTGGAAGTTTCAAATGTTTGAAAAGGTGTTCCTAAGAGTATATTTACCCTCACAGCTTGTAGTCTCATCATCATTTACATTTTTTACATTGCAATATGCTCTAGTAATTCCCTGATAAACAGTTGCTGGATAGTATAGTACATTTTTCAGTGAGAGATGACCTTCAATTATGGAAGTTTGAGTCTTATGTTTACAATTCTTTGAAGCATGCACATGCACAAGGACAAGAAAATCACAATATGCGTCCAACACATTCTTAATTATCCTCTTCGCAGAAAGAATCATTTTACTGACTCAATCCTAACATTATGAAATCCAAATTATAGACACAAATTTATTAAATGTGTGACAAATTTGCCAATAGATTCAGATTGATATGGAATTTTTTATTTTTCTTTCTATTGTCAGCTTTGCATTCGAGGTCCAATTTTTTGCCATATCACGCTTCAATGTAGAACAATCAAATTGCTTAACTAAACAAAACTGAGTAATATTTGCACAGGTCTATATGAATAACTGATAATAGAAAAGAGAATAACAAAACAACACCAATGATCAAGATTTGTAGGCGCTGAAATCCAAAGACCCAGTCATATAATTCAAAAAATCACATGATAAAATAATATTGAACTTGGTACCCAAATCTAAAATTTTAGAGACACATTAAAGCATTTTATTCAGGAAAAATGCGGAACCAAAATTTATATTTGGTAAAAAAATAATGCATAGTTCCGCCAACACTTCCTTTCACGAAAATTTACTCAATAATAAATCAAGAAAGTAAAATAATATACCAGAGAAAAATAGATTAAAATTTTCATTAAAGCAAAAGTGTCCTATTAGACTCTAGGAACTCCATAACCACCATAATTACTTCGATCCAAAAATACATAATCTCTCCTATCCAATCAACATGACCTTTATCCTCTTGGTCAAAAAATTCTTTTATTTGCTTCTTTCCACCATTAAAAAACCATAAACTTTAGACACAAATTTATTGATTATGGAAAGACATATTGCAGCGTACACTTTAGCACATTCTAACTAACTTTTAAACCTTGCAAAATGAAAAATACATAACTTCGTTACCATTAGAACAAATTTACTCAACAATAAAGAAAGTAAATTATTAAGTAAATTATTATCATTTTCTCCACATCTATAAACATAGACAAATTCCAAATTACATCAAGCTAAAAACCATGATTTTTAATTCATATAATCCTATGGCTCCATCCAAAAGACAATCTTCTCAAAATTTGTCGTTATATTCCTAATTTCCACTCATTATTTCAAATTTTGCATCTGAATATAAATATTTTGTGAAACTAAAACCAATAATCACAGAAGATCTCCTGAATAGCGAATAATTTACTGTTATCGAAACTAGTAAACAAATATAATTTAACCCACAAATTTAAATCCTAAAAATTACCTTTGAAGACAGATTTCAACGTCAAAAGCACAAAAGGGCCTAGATTTTGAGTTTACATTGACAGGTATTGAACCCAAGATAAGAAATTTTCAGATTTAATTCAGAAATAAGAGTTCAAGAACTCTTCAGTAACAGCACCTAATGACAAGTACTGGCATATATATATATATATATATATATATATATATATATATATATATATATATATATATCAAAAAAAAAAAAGAGATAAATAAG